GTACCATGCCAGTGCCTTCCCTTCCAAACATAGTCCTGCCACTGTCAGTTTCTCCTCCTCTGTCAACCCGTTGACTGCAAAATACCGTTCCACCTTGCAGATCCAGCCATTGCCATCCTCGCCCTCAAAGATGGGCATCTTCAGTTTCCTCACCTTAGGATCTCCTCCGTACCCTCGGTATCCTCCATAACCTCCCATTCCTCGAAGAGGAAGTGCTCCCCAAGTGTCCCGGTCCTCCCTCCGATGATGGTATCCGAATCCGTCGTCATATTCCCCTCTTCCCCTTTCAACATCAACACCTCGATGATCATTTCCCATGCTCATGACCTCTCTAGAAAGTGGCTCTAGAGGCAGCATGTCGTCCTCTCCCTCAAGGATCTCTACTGCCGGATTCCTCCTCCCCCGAAGCGGGTTCGGATTTCCACCTACGCCATGGTCGCCGATAGTCTCTCTTGCTTCTGACGCCGTCGGATTAGTCTTCATCTCAAGTAATTTCTTCATCATCTCTTCCATGACCGTGAACTTCACATCCATCCTTTCATTATTGGCGGTGATTTCAATGAACTTTTCCTCCAAATCTGATTTAATCGGCCAAATTCGCCTTCTAGGACTTCGATCTTCTTTCCGACCATTTTTCTTTCTACGAGTCACAAGAATTCTTCCTCCGAATGCCAAAAAACCCGCTGAAATTTCAAGATTTCAGCCGCCGCTGGTCCCAGAACGATGCTCTGATACCAATTTGATAGGAAACATTTGAGTTCTCAAGTATTCCTAACCCAAACAAGTAAAATTACAGCAGCCAACTGCTGTCCACAGCAGCAAAAAAGCAGAAATTCAGTGAAAACGCAGCAGGAAATTGGGAAACGAGGAGAAAAACACAAGATTTCGCTTGTATTTCACTAGAAATTAAAGAAAACAGCAAAGGTACCATTTGTTCTTCAATCCGAGAGGAAGAACAACTCTCCAACGATCTCCGGAAACGCCAAGAGCCCAAGCATGCAAACCCTAGATCTCAAATAGAATTCAAATTCAAGATGAGGAGCTAATCCCCCCCAATCTCCTAATTATACAAAATTAATCATAAAGGACAATAATAAACTTCCTAAAACAACCTTTCACATTCAAATTTTCCCTCCTAAGCTCCCCAAAAACCCACGTGGCCCCTCTCGGTTCCGCTCAATCCTCGCTCCCCTTCTTGTTTCTCCGCCTGGAGTAACAGTGGACCGGTCCGGGCTGACCGGACCAGCCGGCCCCTCCTGGGCCGACGTAACAGAAAGTTGTCCCAAAAGATGCCTTGTCATACGAACATTCACCTTACCTCATCCAAGAGATTATTCCATGCGGAGACCGAATACAGAAAACCGTCTGATTTTATCTCCATGAATAATTAAAGTGCAATAAGAGCGCAATTGTGAACAGTAAAACCCCAATGATGAACAGTAAGTACGCTTTTACTGTTCATAGAGACAAAACTGGACGTTTCTCTGTATCCAGTCTCCGCACATAATTATCTATGGCTTCATGGAGAGAAGCCTCCCCCAAATTTCCAAACTTCTACCTTCGCATTAATTCAAAACAAGACCTCCAGCATTGACTAAGGCCCGCAAAATAATGCGAAGAAGCATCACAAATTGGCCACTTCAGTTGTTGCGTGAAGAACGGGCGGACTGAGAGACCCCACAACCAAAAGTTTCTGTTAGAAAAAGTTCGCTGATAGCAACAGATAGGCCTTCACCAACCACAGAAGTGGCACTTTGATAATTATTCGCAGTTTTTCCATCCGTCCTCTTCACATGCGGCCGTGAACTTAAGCATGTGGATAATCTCAAACGGACGTGATTAGCGGAGTAATTAACTAGTTACCATGCCCGCTTAAGTAACGCCAACATTTTTCAAATTTATGCAGAATAAATACAACTTTATATCATAATTCACAATTACTTGCCTATGATCTTCCGAACACCAACTTCATCCGACCATTGTTGTTGATTACAATCTTTCGATTATTATTACCCTACTATGATCCTCTGACTATTTTTACTCGATTACGATCGCCCTATTACCATTGTTCAATTATGATTTCCAGACCATCGTTATTCAAATAAGTTTCTCTGGCCGTCATCACTGGACTATAGTCATCAAACCATCATTGACCGACTACGGTCCTCATGCCACCGTCACTCAACTATGGTCCTCTGAGTAGCGCCACCCTTCTATAGTCATTTGACCACAGTTACCTAACTATGATCTTCTCTCTTTCATATTTTTCATGTAAAAACTCTAATGTCTTATAAAATCATCCTGTAAATCCGATTTGGTTTGGTAAAATTCTTCAAGGTCATTAAAAGAGTAGGATAGGGTCAGGCCAAACTAACTTTGACTTGGATAACTAAATCAAAATAAAATTATTGATCAGTCATGATCAATGAGGACAAGCTGATATCTGCCATCCCTTTTCAAGGTCTAGTTTGGTATTGAGTTAACCATGCATGCATGGAAAGTTAAAATATTATTTCCATATAAAGTAAGAAAAAAAAGTTTAGATCTAAGATGAAATATCAATAGCATTAAATATGAAAAATCTAATTTATTATATCGAATATTTTCTCGTTAGACTAATTGACTCATTAGTGCTAAATGACCGACCCATCTGCTCCAAAGAAAAAATCAAACAAACGTGTAAGACAATCAAACCAAAATCAATTTCACCTTAATCCAACGACTTCTAAGAGTTTAGAATATTGACTAAAGAGCTTATTTCTTTATTATTATTATTTTAAATCTCCTTATTCCATTTCCTATATAAAGAGTTCAAGGTGGGCAAAGGTAGATTGCAGGATATATCAGAAGCACCAAAGATGTCTCTGCGTGTGAGCCAATGCAAGGCTACCGACCTTGTTCATGGAGTTCTGATATCACTGCTACTCTTCTCATTTTATAGTGAAGCCGCTCTTTCTCCGGCTCCCGCTCCTCATAGTCCACATCACTCGCACCCATTAATCCCAGCAACACCTCCTCATAGTCCACACAACTCGCATCCGTTAATCCCAGCAACACCTGCCCATAGTCCACATCACTCGCACCCGTTAATCCCAGCAACACCTGCCCATAGTCCACATAACTCGCACCCATTAATCCCAGCAACACCTCCCCATAGTCCGCATCACTCACACCCGTTAATCCCAGCAACACCTGCCCATAGTCCACATAACTCACACCCGTTAATCCCAGCAACACCTGCCCATAGTCCACATCACTCACACCCATTAATTCCAGCAATACCTGCCCATAGTCCACATAACTCGCACCCATTAATCCCAGCAACACCTGCCCATAGTCCACATCACTCGCACCCGTTAATCCCAGCAACACCGCCCCATAGTCCACATCATTCGCACCCATTAATCCCAGCACCCTATCCCCATCACCATCACCATCACCATCACCATCCATACATCATTTCCCCATCTCCTTCGCCCAATACTCACTACCCTCAACCGCACCAACATCACCATTATCATCACCACCACCATGGCCATAACAAGCACCATTATCCGTCCCCTATCTCATCAGCACCACTTCCATCACCATACTCATCACCTCCTTTCTACTTCAACTCACCACCACCTACTCCCCGTGCATATCCTCTCATCCCACCTCACAACCCGATCACACCGCCGCCTACCCCCGCTCCATCTAGCCATCATTTCAAATTCACACCACCGCCGCGGAGATATGGTCCCTCTGGCACTATATAATTTTGGTTTTATGCAGGAAAATAAATGAAGTGTTCGTGTCCTGTATGGCTCAGTTCGTTAAAGTTGGTAAGAGTCATCAATAAGGAAAATTGTGTACTGCAGTAATAGTAGAAATAATGGAGGAGGTTGTTTTCTCCTTAATTTGAATGGCTTTTTTATTTATATGTAAGAGTCGCAGTCCTAATAGAATAAGCTAGTAGAATTTTGAATAAGCGAGTCTGGATTCCTGAGGACTATTGGTATTTATAGTGTTATTTTATTGAGTTGCGATGTCTCTATTATTGCAATTCGGATCCTTTTTTATTTTTTCATTACTTCATTGCAATTGTGCATGGCAGTATAACCAGATAAGTTGATTTCAATCAAAATCAGAAGAAATTCAATTTTCATATCAACAGCCATAACGCATTAATTCTATAGGTGACAAAAAAGTTAATGGGTCTAATTCGGATTTGATCTAAAATTAATCTGCTTTGAACCCATCCGACCCAAACTTGAATCGTTAAATAAACAAGACAAAACGCTAGATCCAGACCTAACCCATCAGAAACCCATTTGACAAAACCCCACCTGTTGACCCATTTATATTAAAAAAATTTATTTTAATGTGGCTTAAATAGAATACAAGCAAAACATGTACTAACAAATTTGCTCGGTAAACACCTCATACATGAGTTCAGCTGCAGGTGGAGAAGAATTGTTTGCAAGGATTAAACTTACATTGTTATGCATGTTGTTGTTTGCACCAACTCCAAGGAAATCATAAATGTCCTTCTCTACATCCTATTTAGCTTTCGCTTGACACAAAGAACTTTTCTCTTTCCCTCCAATATCAGCTTAAAAGAAAAAAAAAAGCACATATTAGCAAATCGAAACCATTATCTCAAAAACCAAAGTGGAAGCACACATTTACCATTACTGACTTTTACCTGTCATTGGTTATATAGTAGGCGCAGATTTTATCATGACTTCTGCTTCCATCTGCATTAATTGTGTAAATAGCCAATTCATTTGCTTACAGATCAAGAAAAGTTGGAATATGTGACAAGATTCATTTGTTTTAAACTCGATAAGAACAAAATAAATCAAATATGAGCCGAATGTAAAATAAATATGAACATCTATCATTTTAAATGAACCAAGCTTAAACACAAAAAAAAAAAAATTCGAATCAAATTCAAACCAAGCTGATAATAAATAAACTCAAATATGAACAAGCACATGCTCGATTCGTTTACAACCCTAATAAAAGAGGCTAATCTAGGAGATAATCTAATTCATGCTAATTTAGATAGGATCAGAAAATTTTGACATTCAAGTTAGACTTAAAAGCCAAAAAAAAAAAGATCTAATTGATAGATATATTTTTGGATTACAAGAGCCTGAAACAAGCACCACCGATCAAAATTTCTTTCTAAAAAAATTTTAAAATACTGAAGGGCTAAAAAAAACCAACTATTGTTTTCATTGTTTTTAACTAACAACTAAAACAAACTAGTTATACTCATGCCACTTAAAACTTACTAATAAATAAAAATACCACTCTTCCCCATGCTACACTTTTTTTTTTGGGTAAACCCCCATGCTACACTTGATGATTCAGGACACGGGCTGAGAGGGATAGGCCGAGGAGAAGGAGATGGTGACGGGATTCAATTGGGTATTGAAACAACTTTATTGTAGGTAGTTTATTTTAGGTGATGGCTTGTGAAGATTTTATAGGAGAAACTGCTTAACAACAGAATGATCGTTGTTATCATCAAATTCAAAGCATTCTTCTATATACATATGATCTAGCCCTGCTTCATATATACACTGGATCCAAAAACAAAATGATATTCACAAAAGAGAATACTCACCGTAGCCTTTGTTTGTCAGTTTTCAAAGATCGAGGACATAGTCCTCCCGGTCATCGGAGAAACTAACTCCTGCATTGTTGCTTCAATACCTAATGAAACAAAAGGAAAGGAAAAAACTTTTCAGAGAAAACGCAATGAAACAAATAAGCAACAAAAACTTAACAAAAATAGGCATTTGCTACAGTTAACAACTATCCACCCAAATATCCAGAAAAATCAGTTCAAATTAAGACAATCCGATTCAAGATTAATCAGGCCCGCCAAAATCCAAATAACTCAATCTACCCAATTTCATACTCGTTGGCTTATCAAAGAACTCATTTCAAACAAGAAACCATAATCCAGGAACTCATCCTAGCCGACAAATGTTGAAAAATATTTAATTACTTTTAAAGTGTGCAACTGATTAAGAATCTTTTCCAAATTGAGTTACTAAACCATTTGAACAAATATGCTTTATAATTGGAACAAAAAACCCAAGCTAGTGAAATCAAAGTTAGGTAATTAATGTATTATATTAATTACAAAAAATAATTATAAAAACAGCGAACAAAACTAATTAATCTACAATTAATTAGTAATCTTGTTTCCACTAAGCTTGCACAATATGACCAAGAGTTGCATGCCAAACAAATAGCCTTCCTTATGTCTCAAACTTGCAAACCAAGGCAAGATAAACCAAAGCTATTCAATCTAATAACAATGGATCAAACTTCTTTAAACAAAACAGTAACAACAACAACAACAACAATCCTTTATCCCACTATGTGGGGTCGGCTAAATGAATCATATTTCTCCATTGTGTCATGTTAAGGGTCAAATTCTCATCTAAATCTAATAAAGAAATGTCATTTCTAATACTTTCTAACAAAGTCTTTTTAGGTCTACCTCTACCTTTCTTAATATAAACCAAATCTAATACATCTACTTTCTTAACTGGGTCATCGGAAGGCCGTCATTTTATGTGGCCAAACCATCTAAGGCGACTCTCTCTAATCTTATCTTCCACTGAAGCTACTCCAACCTTTTCATGTATATGCTCATTTCATATCCTGTCTTTAAGAGTAAAGCCACTCATCCGCCTGAGCATCCTCATCTCTGCAGCACTTCACTTAATATTATGCTTCTCTTTTAATAGCCAACATTCTACACCATAAAACATTGCAGGTCTCACTACTATCTTATAGAATTTTCCCTTAAGTTTGAGAGAGACTTTTCTATCACATAGCAAGCCCGATGCATTCCTCCACTTCAACCATCCAACTTGAACTCTAATAATAATATCTCCATCTATTTCACAATCACTCTGAACAATTGACCCAATATATTTAAAATGTGTGTTTTTCTTAATGACTTGATCTCCTAAAATCACAATCTCTCCACTAGATCTATTAATACTAAAATTATACTCCATATATTTAGTTTTAGATCTACTCAAATGAAAGCCTTTAGACTCTAAGGTTGACATCCATAATTCAAGTTTACCTTCAACTCCCTCTCTAGTCAACAAGAAGAATATCACCAGCAAAAAGCATACACTAGGATACAATCTCTTGCAAATGTCTAGTGAGAACATCAATGACTAAAGCAAAAAGATATGGGCTTAAGGTTGATCCTTGATGTAATCTAATTGAAATAGGAAAATACTTGGTCAAAGTGTCAAACCACCTTGTGTTTGAACACAAGTAACAGCTCATGCACGCATATCCTTAATGACATGAATATAAGCATTATTAACATGTTTCTTATGTAGAACTCTCCATAGCACTTCAATTGGAACTTTATCATATGTTTTCTCTAAATCAATAAAAATTATAAATAGATCCTCCTTATTCTCTCTATACTTCTCCAACAAACCTCTCAATAAATGTATAGCTTCCATAGTAGACCTACCTGGCATGAATCCAATTTGATTTTGAGAAACATTAGTGTCATGCCGCAACCTATGCTCCATAACACTCTCCCATAGTTTTAAAGTATCACACATTAACTTGATTCCTCTATAATTTGCACAATCTTGTGCCTCACCTTTATTCTTAAAAATATGAATCAACACACTCATTCTCCACTCAACTAACATCTTTTTAGTCTTCAAAATAACATTAAAAGTTTTGTGAGCCAAGAAATTCCTTCATCTCCTAAGAATTTATACACCTCTATTGGAATATCATCATGTCCAATAGCTTTTCCACGCATCATTTTCTTTAAAGCCTCTTTCACGTTTTACTAATACCCTGAGAAAAACAAAAAAAAAAATTATTTTTATTTAGGGTGCTTAAATCACTAAAGTCAATTACATTCTCATAATCTTAATTAAAAAGTTTAGCAAAATATCTCATTCATCTTTGTTGAATATCCTTTTATAATAAAATATTTTTTATCTTCATCCTTAATACACTTCACTTGAACTAAATCCTTACTACACCCATCTCTTTGTTTAGCTAACTTAATCTCTAATCTATAATATAAATCATTAAAAGCTAAACAAAGATTCCTCATAACATTAGCTTCCTCATGCACAGATAAAATCTTAAAATCTACAATCTTACTCTTAAAAATATTTGTATTAATATTCTTTAAATGCCCCCATCTAATCTTAGAATAACGATTTACTTTATTTTTGATATTTTGTCCCTTCATCTTAAAGTACAAAACCAATAAATGATGGGGTACATAAACTTCCACTCGAAAATAACTTTACAATCTTTAAAATATTAAAAATATGTAATTCTTAAAAGAAAATAATTAATATATAATTAATTTGACTTTCACTATATTTATTCTTATAAGTGATGAGATGCTCATCTCTTTTCTTAAATAAGGTAGTAGCAATTATAAACTCATAAGCTAAAGAAAAATCTAATATGATTTTACCATCTTCATTAGTTGCTCTAAAGTCATAACCACCACGAATACTTTTAAAATCATCTAATTCTCTACCAACATGTCCATTTAAATCTCCTCCAATAAAAACTCTTTCTTTGAGAGGTAACATTTGTATTGATTATTCTAAGTCATTCCAAAATTTTAATTTTGAGCATATATCCAAACCTACTTGAGGAGCATAATGCTTATTATATTAATAATCTTAGAATCAACAAGAATCTTTAAAGCTATAATTATATCTACAATTCTATTAATTTTTACAACATTATATTTCAAACTCTTATTTATAATAACACCTACACCATTTCTAATATGATTCCTACCAAAATATCATAGTTTAAATTCTAAATTACCAATCTCCTTAGTCTTCTCACCAACTCATTTTATTTTTTTAATGCAAAAAATATTTATCTTCCTATGAATAATAATCTATTAATTTCATTAATTTGTTTGTAAGGGAACCTATATTTCAAGTTCCTATCCTAATTATAGTTTTATGGACTAGCTTATTTGCCCACATCCGTCCATGATGCGAGAACCCTTGCCTATTTAACACTAAGCGTTGGTGCAGCGGCCCTTGCTCACTTGTCACTGTATTCAGGCCATACAATGTGTCGCTTCCAGGGAAAGCCCTAACATTAACACAAAGCATTAAAGGATTGATGTCATGATTATTCGACAAGTTTTATGCTGGTTGTCGACTACCTAATGCAAGCCTCCATTTTTCTCATCCAGGACTTGTGATGTGGCAACGAAAGTGTTGAACAAAACAATAAGCAAGATTTAAATAAAATCCCTAAACAAGATTCTATATCAACTTACAAACAAGCTATAACAATATCTAATGCAAGAAGCTCATATAACCAAAAACAACCATCAAAGAAAAGGAAACAAGAATACAAGGGGTCACATGGTTCGTCACGAGGTGCCTATGTCCACGGGGAGAAAGAGGGGCTAGTTCTTTTATTAACTTGCACAAGAAATGTACAATAGCATGAACAATCTTAGATCTAGGTTTATCTTTTCCATACAAGAAAGACTATTATTCTTAAGGAATTAAAAGGAACAAAATCACCTGAACAATCTTTTCTTGCTTTACTTGCAAAAACCTTCCAAAATCGAAGCCCTAGCTTTGGACATGTGCATCAACACCAAGTGCCACATCAAAATTTAACTTGGTTAATTTAGGAAAAAAAATAACACCAAGTGCCACATCAACACCTTGGCCAAATCAATTTGAAGATTTGGTTACCACCTGCCAAATTTTGAAAAATCGCCTCCCCTCGAAGTATTTTAGTTCACAATCCAAGGAAGACCGACCAAGTGGACAAATGACATTCCCAAAAGGTTCAAAGACATCTCCACTCATCAAGAAAGTTAAGATTTAAGCCAAGCCATGAAGGAAGTGATTGGCCCTACCTTCTCCAACCTCCAAAAAATCACCTCCAATCATTAGAACCATCAGACATCCATTGCACTTCCATTGTACTTGAGAGGAGAGATAAAAAAAATGTGCAAGGATGTATTAAAAACTATTTTGGAGTTAATCAAATTGCAAGAAATAGAAATTCCGTCTTATTAGGCTTTGTAGTTGGCCCCTCTATCACTTTGGTGAGAGTAGGAGTTTTGTGCTTTTTATTTCTCTTAATATGTATACATAAGCTATGGTATTCTTCTTTTTCTTCAATTCATCTCCTCTCATACAACATTCTCTCAAGTTCCACAGCTACATGAAAGAGATCTCCCACCAAAAACAAATCCATAGCCATATCCCTCCAATCCAAAACCTATTCAAGGCTAGTCGTCCACTACATTAACAAAATGGATCCCCCTTCCTCCACCAACCTCGCCCAACCCCTCACCATGACTCCACCAACTTTCAAACTAAACAAAATAAATATGCAAACCTCCACTCACGTAGCATAATTAAAAGCTAAGCCTAAGGAAGCTCTCTTCACCCCCCAACCCCCACCACCCCCCCCCCCACTCCACCTTTAAAAAAAAAAACCACTCATGCACCTTCAACCCTTACTCCACCTCCACTTATAAGATCCCTCTACCTTTAGTTGACCCTACCAACACATTTCTTATCTCCACATGTCACCACCGAGGGTCTACTTCAGCCTTATCACTGAGTAAGAATCTTCTACACTAATTATTGTTGCACTTAAGGTTAAGCCTAAGTTTAGACCACTCGTACATCCTTATTGCTCTAGAGCTGCTTTAGATTATAAAGTCCACTCTAACAAAAAAATTTAACAAGTCTTCTATTGAATATAATCAATTTACATTCCAAATCAAACTCTCTTACAGTCTTCAACTGCAACTATAAAAAGAGATTGTGAGAAAGATCACTCCAGGTTTCCTGGAAGGTCATGACAGCTCTTTTTGGCAACCATGGTGCCCATTCATTCCACTGTCGACTTATTTACTGCAGCTTTTCAATCTGTTATTGTCTAGACCCTTCTGGATGGCCTTTCTGCCGAGCAATCGGAGACCGTTTAGCTCTCTTTTATTTCTTTGAGAGATCTTTATGTTGCTGTCTGAGCCCATTTTTGGGGTGTTATCACCTTTAATTTTGGGTCTATTATCTGTTTCTATAGATTTTGGAGTTTTCTTTTGTCTTCCCATACCTGTAACTTTTTCTTGTGATTTTTCCTATATTATGATCATGCAACCTTCTACTCATAGCAATAGAAGGTTTTATCTTTTCCCAAAAAAAAAATAAAAAGATTGTGAGAAGATGATAGAAAAGAAGTCATAGACAAAAAAAGAAAAGAAAACCATCCCTATAAGTAATTACTACAAATGGACACTTGTGCATGAACTGAATGCATTTGCTGAAGCCATATCACAACTCACAAGGCACTACTTAGAAGACTCCTATACATGCCATTACACAGAAAAAGCCTAAACCACACGGCAACAATAAAAGGATCAATATTGTATATTCAGAATTCATGAAATTATGCGCGCGCGCATATATATATTTCAGGAAAACAAGTATTTCAATTTGTCATCGTAGTTACCTCTGTCCTTGAAGTGGCATATGTGCCTTCAAAATGGCATTTTCATAAAATACCGGGAAAGAATGCATTCAGGAAATCAGTGGCCATCGAGATTTCGTAGGCCTGTAAGGTACCCCAAAACAACTCAGCCACCAACGACAAATCTTCTAGATCCCCACTGTCTCCTAAAATATTTCTTTGTACACATATCTGAACCAGGTTCATCAATGGCCTTCCGCTGCAGTGAGGAACCCTCTCCAACATCAAATCTAAACTTTGTTAAAGGCATGGTGTTATTTAACAAACTATTCATTGGAAACAATGCTGGGCCAACATTACTGCAATCACTAGTGGAATCTGGAGACATATATATGATATCCTTGTCCTTCAAGAAAAAGTTTTCAAGACCTTCTGTTTCATATCCCCTAACTTGCTTCAACAGATCCCCATTCTCCGGCTCCAAAAGACTGCTAGTCATAATTGATTGAGATGTCTCCATGCCTTCAAGATGGGATTTATTATCAGAACAGACTTCAATCTTGCCATCAACAAAGAATTTGTTCTCAGAGCAGGCTTCAATCTTTACATGATGGACACAAGAATTTGAGTCAACAACCCTAACAACAGAACAATTACTCTCTCGAACTTTCCCTAAGACTCTCAAGCGAGTTTTGTCTTTAGGCCAAAAAGTCCTGGAAATCCTCTGTGATCCATTTATCGATCGATGCAATCGAAGAGCCAATTCCTCATCAGCTAGAGTAATGGCGTTACTGGAGTCCTTCACTAAATGAACAGAAGCTAGTGCATCTTTCGTAACCTCTGTAGAACTCCTCACCGCCATTGATCTACTCACCATATTATTTTTCGCCTCAACTTCGGAGGCCATCTCCTTCTCCGAGATTGAATTTGCCTCCCTTACCAAATCCTCTAACAAAATACTAAATCCAGTTCTGGATCCAGATTTAGCAACACCTTCACCGCGAAATCTGTAGACAGGGCAGCAGTCAACGCAGATAAACTTTTCCGTGTCTAGCTGCGAAGGCGACAGATTACGGTGATGCAGTGGCACGCATGTGCAGTGAACTCGGCAACAGCATTCAATACAGACAAGAATCCCCTTTTCCAACTCTGGAATAGCTGAGAAGCAGTAGGAGCATACCTTGGCAGATCTGACGCCATCAAGGCAGTCATAACAGAGGAGGACGATGCGCCACTGGCTCTCGAGGGTTCGGAACTGGTCTATGCTGTCACTGATCGGGAAACGGAGACCGCATCGGTGGCAGCTAGACAGATCGAGTGATGGAATGGATGAGTGAGATGAAATGCAGGAAAGAGTGTCTTCGCTTCTCAAGCAACCTCCCTCCATCTCGACCGTATCTCCCATGAAAAACGATCAAAAGGACGGAATCTGGGTTAGGGTTAGTGGAGACCTAAATCACTGCTCATCTCTTCGCCATGAGGGAGGACTGCGGGAAGCGTGAGCAGGTTACAGAGGCCTTTTGACCCTCTCTTGTCGTCTTCATGTGTCGAGTGAAAGAGCTTTCTCTACAAGTCGAAGCGTTGAACGGCAGATCATATCAAATATAAATCTTAATATTTCATTTTAATTATTCAAATAAAATTTTAATCGTTTATTTTAATTATTAAAATTTTAAAATTTTAATTATTAAATAAATATTAATTATTAATCTTTATTATTACTTATTATAAAAAAATATGAATGGGTCAGTTTAAATTAATACGGTTTGTGATTTCAAATTTATCGGCCCTTTTCTACTCTGAATTCATTAGCTAACTGTCCATCGGGCCCGATTCGGGCTATGAATAATTAAGATTTATACGTTTTCTGATGGAGGGCGGTGAATGAGTAACTGTTTGGAACAGTTTTACAAAACATTGGAGCCTTGTCAATTATGTCAATTTTTTTTTATTGCGAGTTGCTCTTATTTTATGATTTGTTAATGAACTTTATAGACTAAATTTTAATATTCAAAGAATTATGAATACTTCTATATATATATATAATGCATATTTAAACATTCACGGTAGTAGAGAGATATAGAGTTTAGCGTTCAAAATTTGTATGAAGATCTAGTACATATGCAGATACGAGAGAGGTGCAAGAATCATAAGAGACGCCAAAAAAGTTTTACGTGGAAAACTCTTATAAGGGAAAAAAAAACTACGGGATTTTGTCCAATTAAAATAATTCCACTGTATTCATAGTTGATTACAAATGAGGCTCTTACTCGAGGGAAGGTCATAGCTCAATGTAGCAAATATACATCATAATAAATGACATGAGAGTTGTTCTAAAGAGAATGTTTACATATTCTTTTGGTTGGTAGGACCGTAGTGGGGCGTTGAAGGTCGAAGGGGCATAGTCGGCGAGTGATCATGGTCGGAGGGATCGTAGTCAGCAGGCGACCGTGGTAGGAGGGATCGTAGTCAGCACATGACTGTGATCGGAGGGACTATAGTCAACACATGACGATGGTCAAAATGGTGTGTCGAGGGTTGTCGGGGGGAGGTCTTGCGGCGGTCGCCAGTCGACGACTAGGTGGAGGTCCGACGGTGATATTCAGACGAGCAGTGTCCTGGTGATGGTCGGCAGCCATAGATATGTCTGGTTGAGGTTGGTCGCCATACGGCAATGGTTTGACAATGGTTAGCGGACAAGAAGAGTTCCAATGGTGGTCGGTCTGGTTGAGGTTGGTCGCCATACGGGCAATGGTTTGACAATGGTTAGTGGACAAGAAGAGGTCTAATGGTGGTCGGTGGCCGAAAGAAGGTTTGTCAATGATTTATAGCCGAGCAGAGGTTCAACAATGATTGATATATAGGCGAAGGTCTGACGATTGTCAGCAGAAGTTCGTTGGCGATGGTGCTTAGGTAGAACTTCAAGATCCTTAAAGCCTCAAAACAATCTCCAATATACCACCCCAGCCAAAGGTCCCTTTCATGAAGAGGGCATGATCCTATTTATAATTTTTTTTGAGTGGCAAGCTTCGTAACTATGGAGAAGATCCAGGGCAAAATCGGAGTGGTCAGTCAAAAGACTCATATCGATTCACTTGATCATAAAATATTCATCAAGCACTTATGTGCCATAATGATATCGGATATAAGCGATCTTGGGTTCGTTGGATACATCTCTTCGAGTTGGTTGATTTGACTATAAGCATGCTATATTTGGATATCATTTTGTCATCCAATTAATTCTTTTAATCTTTTAAATGTGCTTCGATCCTTTGCTTTGTACCCATTTGAGATTCGATTGGATTGATATTGGTTTTGTTGGGTTTGTCTCATTGAGACGTTCAATTTGATTATAAGTTTGCTGAAATTGGAGTTTGTATGGTCCAACATTTAATTTTAAAAGTTTCTAATTTGAACATGTCTATAGATTCGTGCTCAATCAAGACTATTTTTGATGATGGATCAATAACCTTTAAAGGCAGCAATATTTTACATATAAATTAATATACTTTGTTTTAATGCATTATTAAATATATGATTTTAACACTAGATCATGAGTTAAAGAATTCACTACTCCAATAAATGTATATAACAAAAATTAATAATAAATTATATTAAATTTATAAATTTATATGTGAATAAAATTTAAAAAATGGTTTAAATTTAAAATTATAAGTATAAATTAGAAATATAATTTATATGTATAAATTATATTAAAATATTTAACAAAAAATAGTAATAACCAACTAACGGATAAAAATGAATTGTATATTTTGACTATCTGTAATAGAGTTAATAGGAAAGAGAAGAGTCAGATGAGCTGAATGATGATTATTAGAAACATCTACATGAAGTCATTTTAGTACAATCATTGAACTGCAAATCATCATAAAAGCATTTATTTTCTCTAATATTTAAAATTTTATATTATCTTAATTTAATATCATTTAAACACTGGAATATTTTATAAATAAATATAAGAATTTATATATTATAGAGGTAAAAATATAATAATTTAATAATATACATCCAAATCCCCCTTACATTAAATAAGTAAAATATCAACTTAGCTTGTTCCTCATTAGAGGTATTCTTCAGCACTTGATAGATCATTACATCAGGTCCATAGAATCATGAACATTCTGATCATTGAAAGCTTGGCCGTTTGGGAAAGCAGGAGAAGAAGCTGAGTTGAGAAGCTGATTCAGATGGCTGTTAAGTATACCTGAATGAATCTGCTGAGTCTGTTGGTTAGGAAAATGAGGGAAGTAAGGGGAGGAAGACTGCTGAAATCCTAGGCTGAAGGTGTTTCCACTACTGTTTGGAGCCTGTGACTTGAGTCGTTGAACTTCTTCTCTCAATGCTTCGTTCAAAGCTGTGCAGATTCAGATATGAGTGAGTCCTGATTAAACCATTGACAAATCACAAAAGCAACAAGAATTCGCAGTATTAGTCTGAAGGACTGTTTGATATGAGTCCTTCAGACTAATCAAACAGTGAAAATTCCAATTTTCACTCCAAAATGCAGTAAAGCTAAAAAATGCAATGATTCATCTTCAATCGAACTCCATTTTGTACGTTTCTGCGAAGGTAACCGTCTTTCTCCTCTTTCGCGCGTTTCTTCGACAAATCCGGTTGAGACAGAAAAATCGCGTAGGTGAACAGTGCAAAGCCAATATTAGCGCCGCACTGTTCACCTGCAAGCAATAGCGGAAGATTTGACGTTCGTCTGGAGCGACCGAATGACTTCATATGCATATTTGATGTTCGGTTGGAGATACTCTAAGTGCATAGCCTCCCCAAGCAACTAGGTGAAGGGGTGGCTGATGCAGGAGACATGGCTCAAATTTCATGGGAGGTTAGTGCTTTCTTAGGCTTCGTTTGAGACGACTTTCTTATTGCTTCTTAAAACAACTTTTTAGTATAAAAATTAAAACTTTTGTACTAGGAAGATGCTTTAATAAACAGCAAAAAAACCGTCTCAAACGAAACCTTAATTAGATCACAACAGCCACTATTAAGAAGCAGAAATATGGGCTCTCCAAACTGTTTCTCAGACTACAATAAGAAGAGGAGAGTACTATTTGTTAATGAATCCATGTATCAATATTTATCGGTTTTTGCTGCAATAGAAAGAAAAAATGGAACTCAAGCATTCTCTTTTGATGATATCAAGACAATCAAAGTTGACTTACCATCGCTGAGATGAGCCTCTTGTTCCATAGACTGCAACCGCAGCTTGAGTTCTGTATTCTCAGAAGTTAAGCCAGTAGAATCCCTCTGCATTGTAAGAAACAAGGAAAATTTGAAGCTTTTGATCAATATGAAGTTTATAGGCATTTGGGTTGAGAAACAATAAAGTTCTTGTAATAGTATAAGAAACTTGTTATGATCAATCAGTAATTGTAAGAACAAAAAAAAAAAATTGAATTCAGCGATCAGAAAGAGAGAGCTCTTGCAAGTTTAAGGTAAAGCAAAACGGAAGCAAAAAAAAAAAAAACATTTGAAGGTAAACTTAACCGCTATGATATAGATATAGTTGAGAAATTTACTGCAAATTATGTTTCTGCTTCACCATTAAGACTGGCACTTAATATGAAAAGAAGCAGATAGAGCATACAATATGCAAATGCCTATCTCTTGAGATTTCGCATAAAACTACTTCATAAAGACAACCACTACAACTAAACATATTAATAATTATATTTGTCATTATTAGTTGTACTCAAATAAAGGACACGAGAAAATTATCTTCTCCTTCAAGTTGCACATTTGTACCACATCATTCTAAATGAAGGTTTACCATAACAACCCTAATAATTTCTTTTGAATTGGGAACATAAGCAATGGATTTAAAATGGAATACATTAGAGAGCGAGCGTCTACTTGACTTTAATTATGGAAATGACAGCTTTAAGAGTGAACATAATTTTAAGTAATTATAAAAAATGGATGAAGCACATAATAGAGGGCACAAATATTTATGTTGCTCGATGAGAATTATCTACATTCTAATTCATGTAGATATTAAAATATTCTATGAAGTCTTAAAAAATATATGTATGAAAGATATCTTCTTATCATGAAGAATGAGTAAATGTTACCACTTTAATAAACATAAAGGAAGAAAGATTAAAAAAAAAATAAAGTAATAAAAATAATAAAGGAAGAAAGATAAATCTCCTTACTTAAGAAGAAAACATGCAACAACTTGCTACCATTAGTGGGGAAATAAGCTTCCCTTTGGTCTTTCCACCATAGGGTATCTAAGATATGCTCAAGAACTTTTTTGTCTCTTCTTTCCTAGTATTAGCTCAAGCTTCTATTTAGAGGTAAGCCATGATATTTTTTTCCTATAACAATACTTATCTGAGCCTCTTTGTCCTTTCTTTTGTTTCACCTAAACTACTCTCTCCTTTGAATATTTATTCTTCTACCTGTTTGTCATAGATGGTGTACATTAATTGGAGATCACCAATAGTAGTACTTATGAATGAGAGAATATATAAATATGAAAACTTTCATATCCTGCAAGCACGAAATAAGAAGATGCCAAATATCTCAAAACATAAATACAAAAATCTCTCAAATTTCTCCCCTCCAAAAAACCCAAATCATACCTCAATCACGGAGTTGAAAAATTATATGACATATTTGGAAAGATCTAATTTTGAAAGAAAATTTATTCTTAATATATCACATATCAAGGTATTTCAAGAACCTGAAATAAAAATATCTACATAAATCAAAGTAGGATCATGAAACCCCTTAAGTAATAAGAAATTAAACTCTTAAACATCAATGAGTTTTTTGGTGTAATAGTTGGAATTTCATTAAGAAACACCGCAGTTAAGCGTGTTCATCCCGGAGAAATCTTGGGATGAGTGACCTCCTAGGAAGTTACACTAACAAGACAACTGTGAGGCCCTTAGGCCAAAGCAGATAATATCTCGACAGTTAAGAGTTTGAATCAATGTTTAAAATTGCGTATTCGTGTATTGAGGCGTTTTTCATTCGTGAGGCAAGGCGTAAGCCTCAAGGCGTTTTGAGGCGTAAGCCTCAAAATCAAAAGATTGCGTAAATATAAAATGATAAATTTTTTATATACGAATGAGTGAATAATATAAAACATAAAAAAGCATAAGATATGAACTGAAATCAAAATATCTCAATAATAAGACAACATGAAATATAGTTCAACTCAAAATTCTATCTTTCCCAAATCTCAGTATTTTCTTTGCATTAACATATAATTCTAATTTCCAAAAACAAATAGCAATGGCATATCACATAAGAACTCATAAGTTATCAACACTGTCTTCATTTGAATCATCATTATGATGAACTGCTCTCTCCTCTTCCTCCTCTCCTATAGAGTCCAATGTCGGGCATTTACTTCAAGATTTATGTAAGTTTTAATATATATAGCGTGAGGCGTAAGCATCATGCCAGTGAGGCGAGGCGCGCCTCATAAAAAAAACTCGAGGCGTAAGCATTGAGGTGTTTTTTACTGGAATTGCGCAAAGGAGGGCCTCAAGGCGAGCCTCATATTGCGCAATTTTAAACCATTATTACAAATTGTATCAAAGTAATACACTACTCGGAAAATGGAAACTAAATGTCATAAAAGACAAAAGTACT